TTTTTTGTGGCTTTTCTATTAGTTTATATTTTACCACGAGGCTTGTGGCTTGTTATCTCACACATCTTGCTTCTCTGGTGGCTGCTGGCATCTCCCTACTCCACCCTTTTTCTCCCTGTATTTCTGTTTGGATTTCCCACCTGGCTCTATTCAGCCTGGCTATTGGCCAAATCAGCTTCTTTAATATATGGTAATAAGACATATTCACAGCATACAGAAGAATCGGGGCATTCCACATCACACCATGACTGCGGTAACTCTTATAAAGGAAAACATTTCATTGGGGCTGGCTTATAGTTTCAGAGGTTCAGCCAATTATCTTCATGGCAGGAATCATGGTGACAGACATAGTACTGGAGGAGATGAGGGTTCTAGGTATGGATCTGCAGGCAGCAGCAGGAGGTTATATGCACACTGGGCATATCTTGAGCATTTGAGACTTCAGAGCCTACACCCATGGTGACACACATCCTTCAACACGATCACACCCACTTCAATAAGGCCACACCTCCTAATAGTGTCACTCCCTATGACAATAATCGACTAAGCCTCTGAACTATAAGCCAGCCCCAATTAAATCTTTTCCTTTATTCGAGTCATGGTGTCTTTTTCATAGCAATAGAACCATAACTGAAAGTTTAACTAACTTCTCTGGAAACAGTCTAACTGACCATTAAGATTAACCTTCACAGACATCCTCATGTCTCTGTGCACATTTTTAAAAGTAAAGAGCTAGGTCCTGGGTTTCTGACAGGGCTGCATTATAAACAAATTCCCATGGACACAGTAGCTCAAGGTTGCAGTTGAGGAACTCACTTTGAAAATTGCTTCTCTTCATGTGACATGCTTCTTTTAGGTTTACTAGAGTTGGTCAGTTACTTGTCAGCATTGTTATTCCAGCTGACAAGCTCCCCAACTTATGTGTTCCCCCTTCATCCTTAATCAATATGAAGTGACATATTTGGGTTTTACTTTCTTCAGTTGCTCATTTATTCATTAAAGTTTTTTATTATAGTATATTTTGAGCATACTCTTTTTCCCTCCCAGGTCCACCCACTTCTCTCCTACCACACTTCATTATACTCATGGCCACATAGGCATGTCATTATACTATAATGCAAAACTCATTCATTCCAACTTAAAAGTCCCCTTAGGCTTTCAGTCCCTCTCTCAGTCTCAGTGCTGTTTAAAAGTCCAAAGTCTCTTCTGAGAGCCATAGCAATCTGAAAACTGTAACCCCTGTAAAATCGAAAAGTAGATTGCATACTTCAGCATACAGTGACACAGAATATACATTACCATTCCAAAAAAGAAGCACAACCAGGAAATACTAGATAAACAAGACAAAATCAGCAGGGCAAATCAAATTCTGTATTCCCATGTCTGATGTTAAAGTGCTTTTCGGAATTCCCCTTGTAGCTTTGTTGACTGGAAATCACTTCTTTCTCTTGGGCTGGTCACTACACTGTTAGCAGCTGTCCTTGGTATTCCATGCCTGCTAGTGCCAACATTTGTGGTCTCCAAGGCAACCCAGGCTTCACTGTGACAGCTTCATTACAGTGTGACCTCATTGGGCCTTCATGCAGGGATTCCTCTGACATAAGCCTGGCCTCAGTGACTTTTCTTTACGATTGGAGGAAGATTCGACAACCCCTTTCCTTTATCCTTACTGATTCTAAAGCCAGAACTACATAGCTGAAGCTGCCACGTTCTTTTTGATTTGCTAAGGCTGGAACCTGGCCCCCTCCTTGACTCGCATAAGTTTTCAGTTATTGATGGTTTCCTGTGCAGCTTAAACATTCCCTTGCATTCCTTTTCATAGACTGGAAGCTTAGCGTGGTGGAGTCCTGCCTTGAGGTCCACTCTCTTTACTCCAGTTAGCATCTGGCTTTTCTTTTACTTTTTATCTCTTTGAGCACTGGACTTCACTCCAACATCATATTCCTGGTGTTGCTTTTCTCTTCAAATTGGGCAGTTTGTATCTCTTTGCCATTTGCTCTTGTTCATTGTTCATCTGTTTTCCTCATCAAAAGGCCACATTTCACTAACAGGGAGCATGGTCAGACCTGTCACAGCAACATACTACACCTGGTAGCAACTTCTTAGTCCCTGTTCTGTTCTTATGAAGAGACACCGTAACAATGGCAACTCTTGTAAAGGAAAGCATTGGGCTGGCTTCAGTTCCAGAGGTTATTCCACTGTCATCATGGTGGGAAGCATGGTTGCACACAGCAGGCCCTGAAGCAGTAGCTGAGAACCACATCCTGATCCATAGGTACAGAGAAACCTCAGTGCCACACTTCCTGATCCTTCCAAGCAGCTCACCAGCTCAGGGCTGAGCATGCAAATATATGAGCCTATGGGGTCCAACCTCGTTCAACCCATACCACCACCCAACTTCATGTTTCTCTCCCCACATTTCCCCCACCCTTGGATTTAAAAAAAAAAAGTCACACAAAACCATTAAGACAAAAAAATTCCAAAACAAGAATTGCTTGCACACACACACACACACACACACACACACACACACACACACACACGAAAATGTGAGATTCTGAAACCTCAGTGACACACCACCTTCAACAGCAGAAGGTAGCCATTAGCCTTTCCTGTAAGTTGTTTATTTCACTCTTACCTTGTCTTCCTTTCATTGAATCTGGATAGTGACTTCATAGTTCTGATACACAGTATTTCTCAAGGTGACGGGCTTCAGCAACCTTCTATTTGTGTGTGTTTAAACCTATAACTACCGATTAGGACATTCCACTGTGATTTTGTAGGGATTACATTTCATTAAGAATAGTTTCACTACAGGGGACATTTGGCAATGCCTGGGTGCAGATTGTTGTTGTTTACTTTAATGTGGCTAAAGATGTTGTACAGGATCTCATAGACAGTGGCTGAGGGCACTGTCTAACTCCTGCCTCACACAGGAGAGCATCAGTTTTCCAAGTCTAGTGTCAACAGGGCAGAACCACCCTGGTGTAAGCTAGACCTCACTTCACTCTTGTTAGCATGTTTGTTCTTGCTTCAAGTTCTTCAATAAACTCAGTCTGAAGTTTGACTGGAATTACAGTCCATTTCTAAGACTCACAACTGACCACTTTCTGGAATTTGGTACTGGAGCACATTACTCTCCTTGTTTAGCCTGAGTGGATGAGCATACCCTAAATACTGTGTGAGACCATTGGCTACTCTGTTTGAGTCTCCATAAACACAAGTGGTGCCAAAACGTCTTTAGTTTTCAAACACATTAGCATGCCACACTGCTCATGGTCAAGCATGGTGGTACATGACTGTCCTTCCAGCATTCAGGAGTCTTTGCAGGAGAATTGGACTTTCTTCATGCATGTTTTCTTCTGAGACAAGACCTCACTTTGTAGCCCTGGGTAGCCTGGAACTCCTTGGAACCAGGCTAACCTCCAACTAAGAGATCTGCCTGTTTCTTAGTGCTAGAATTAAAGGCACTAAGGGCATCTTTTTTCTAACTGAGATAAAGACATGATTTTCTTCATTCTGAAGTAACTCATCCATCCAAAGAATTTTCTGTTGGGGTGCCATTTTAGCTGAATTTAACTTTTGATATTTAACCCTGTAAACATTTTTTGTCATTAATACTTATGTAACATAAATTAGTTATAAGTTTTTCCACTTATCCTTTGTTGAAAGTTTCTGCTTCAGTAGAACAGGTTATGTCAGTCATCAAAGATGGGGTGAATTAACATCCCCCAAGAGGATGGCTGTGATGTTTTTATTGTTCTGCCAGTTTTTACTTTTAAAAATATAGTGAATAATATAGCTATGATAATTTCTGAACACATACAACTCCAGTATTTGGGAGGCTGAGGCAGGAGAATCACGTACTTGGGGAGAGAGGGACTATTTAGGTGGGTTCTTGATATATAGCTCTTGCTGGCATTGTCTCAGCATCCCTTCCCTGTGCTGGGATTGAAGGTGTGAGCCAGCAACCAGGTTTATCCCCTCTAGTGATTACCAGTGGCCTTGGGCTATCCTGCAAGTCCAACACACTCTTTCCAAGCTTAAGTCACAGCCCTGACTAGAAGCACACCCACTGGCCCCCAGGAATCCCACTGGGGCACCAGGGGAGTGCCACTTTCTACCCCAGTAACTGTGAAATTAGTGCATTGATTGTTGTCCCCATGGGTGTCACACCAGGAAGCTGTGAAACAGTGGTGACATCTTGACTGGTTCAGGATGACATTGTCAGGATTGTCCACTTTAGCGCTAGAAATTATATACTCTAGTGAACTCTGAAGCTTATGTATGTAAAGCTAATCTAACTCCTATCTTCTCCTCAGTAACACAGAACTGTCTGTGTTACTGTTTACTTCTGTCTGGAACTGAAGGGCTTCTCTAGCCTCATTTGTGGATATTTTCTGCTTACCTGGCTCTCATCCTCACCTGTGCAAAAGTTTAATTTTCATTCATGAACTTTATCTTGTCCTCTCTGACACTGGTTTACTGTTGGTGCTGCCCCTTACTTTGTAGGGGTCTCGTTGTCTGTGAAGTGCAAGGTTCATAATACATCCATCCCAGGCTACCTCACTCTTAAGATTTCTTTCTTGGCTGTTGGTGGGAGGTGACTTAGCACCAATCCTGAGAGGCATCCTGCTCTGAGAACTCAGGTCAGTGGCCCTGTGTCCGATTGCTGGTGAGCTGCTGTTCTCTTTCTACCTCTGTGAAAATGCCAATCCCAATTTTGGTGTGCTGGTCTACAAGGGAATTTCTTGACTTCCTACTATTGGCCCATTGAAACAGTTCCTACATACCCCTGCCTGCTGCAGGAGCACCCTGATCCAAATACCACCTCCAAACAAGGAGTTGTGATCAAAGGTAATGAAAGATGAGTTGGGGTAGATTTAATGTCATTTGGTGATTGCAGGATCTGGGAGGGAATAGTGTAATTAGCCTAATAATGATGAAACTCACCATGTACCATGAAAAAGAAAAAAAATGTCAATTTTTTTTATCCTTAGAGCCCATGGGCAGCATGTCATCCATGGAGGTGAATGTGGACATGCTGGAGCAGATGGACCTCATGGACATCTCTGACCAGGAGGCTTTAGATGTCTTCTTGAACTCCAATGGAGAAGACATTGTACTGTCCCCTGGTTTAGGTAAGAGTCACAACCAGACAGTATCAAATCGCTTAAACTTAACATCTTTCATGAACCTGTTTTCCCACATGTAGGTAAGGCAATGCAGACTGTTCACTGTGCTAAACTGAAGTGTCCAGTTTTACTGCCTCCAGTCAGTTACTTCTAAGCTCTGCCCTTCATACAGCAATAGTATGTGGAATTCTACTTAAGACACTCTGATTTCATGTTCATTCAGCAATTGCTCACCAAGATCTTCCAGGATTGTGGGGCTTGCACCCTTAAACCTGAGCAGCTCTTCTGAGTAGCCAGTGTTTTCTTCATGTACAAGACAGAAGGGGACCCTCAGGCCTCAGATATGGGTCCACAGTACTATGGGTCCTGATTCCTCTGACTTCACCCTCCTCTCAGCCCTCTATAGAGATAGGAATCATTTACTCACAGTGACCGGTTATGTGTAAAATCTTTATTCCTTGTTAAGTCCTTGTAAAATTGGAGAATTGCTGAAGGCTCAGTAATTCTGAGCTCATCTTAGCACCAATATACAGGGATTGAAGAAGCTATAGGATTATCTGTGTTGTGCATGGCTTATGGCTTTTAGCATATGCCCTTACTCTTTAAGCACAGTGCTTAACAGAATCTTATGGGCTTTAAAGAGTTTTTGGTCTTTTTCCAGTGTCACAGGTGCTCATTTGAGCACAGTACGGATGGTCAGCCAGCTTGTTCACCTGTGGCTCCTGCAGGGAGAACAACTAGCCTGTAGGGATCAAGGAAGGCAGCCCCATGGCAGCTGTCCTCAGTAGTGGTTCTCAACTGCAATACCTCAGAGGTCTTTTCTACTTTCTTCAACAGAGCATGAAACCAACCCCTGTGAGAATGAGATGACTCTTCAGATTCCAAATCCCTCAGAAATGGCTATCCAGCCACCTGCCTCACCCTCTGCCTGTGCTGACCTGGACACCATCGAGGCCCCACTCATCCAGTCTGACGAGGAGGAGGTACAGGTGGACACTGCCTTGGTCACATTACACACTGACAGAAACTCCAGCCCAGGTGTCAGTGATGACAGCGACTCAACTCAGGACATTTAGATGACTTGCCAGCTGTGTGCAGTCCTCCAGCAAAGCCAGGGTCTGTAGAGGTTTTTGAATTTTCTTTTTTTACACAATTGCTAATGGTATGTGAGAATCATTGGAGAAGAGCTCACAATAAAGCTGTGGACTGAACAGTAAGCTGTGGTGAGCATGTGGGGTGTATGAAAGGCTTCTTCCTTGGCAAGTGCTTACAGCTGATAGGACCAAGCAATCCTAAGGAACTCAGGTATGGAGGGCCACTGAGGAAGGGCTTGCAGGGGACAGGACCTAGACCTGTCCATGTGGGCTGCATACCCTGGTGTAACGGAGAAAACAGCTCTTCTAACATGATCAAATTGGGACCTGAAAAACAATTTTACCCATCAACTGAGCCATTATAGTAAACAAGCTTGCTCCCCCACAGAGTGGCTAGGAAAATGCTTCAGTAGCTCCACTCCCTGGCCAAGGAGGAGACTTGCAGCCTCTGCCCCACCAACCAGAGAAGAAAGCCCATCCCTTCCCTCACTACCCACAAGACAGACAAAAATGTCCAAAAAACTTGTTTTTATTATTAAACCTTGTAGTACAAACCTGAAAAGTAAACAAAAAACTGGCAATAAACCACACGAAGTCCTCCCTTGAGGGAGGGGTGCAGAGCAGCGCTAATAAATTAAATGTCAAACTGTAAGCCATAGGCGAAAGTTTACTGTCAAAAAGAGGGAAAAGTACACAGCAAGGCCATAAAAAACTGGACAACCACATGGGAAAACACTCGACTGTTGTGTAATCGTTAAATATTCCAAAACAGCTCAGTCTTCTGCAACAACCACCAAAGTGGATCCTAGGACATTCCTGGCAGTCACCACTGGCAAGCTCAGTGCAATATGGGTAGCTACGGACTGATCCAATTATGAAACAAAGAACAGCTTGTGAAAACAGTTTCCCTTTTTTATTCCACACATACTGTACACACAACCGGAGAAGGGCAACAGCTACTCCATTACCATGTTTTGTTGTTGTTGAGTGGTGTAAGCAGCACTTATAAATGTTACAAGAAAAACCCTGTAAGCATCCAATCCAGCCGATGAAGAAACTGAAATGTAAGGCTTTTCTTCATCTTTTCTCACCCCTCCCCTCCCCCCACCAAGAAAAGGCTCAAGTATTTAAAACAATTTACAGGAGTATGTACAAAGGGGACGGGATTCTTTTTTTTTCCTTTTTTGTTAAAATATGACAAGAAAAAATAGACAAGATGAGCACAGATGTATTTTCACATTCAAAAACAACTGCAGATTTAGTGGCTCTAATTGTGTTTTAAAACAGATTAATGCTGATGTGTGAGAGAGACAGGCAGAGACGAAGGTGGAATGTCAGGAAATTGCACTGGGTGACAGGGAAGCACTTACAATCAACTACTGGTTTCCTTTTCCTCAAAGATGCTATTCAAAGGGTTTTTTGATTTTTTTAAAATTTTTTGGTGGTTTTTTTTTATATTTATTTTCATAAAGTAGCCAACAGCACCAAAAAAATAACAGAATGGATTTCCTAACGAAATCAGGCACAGGTCTCCCACAGTGACCCTCCAAGGCAGGCAGTCTTTGTCTTCGTCCTCTCTCCTCGAACGGATGCATAGTGATGTGCTGGTATGAGAACCTCGTCACTCAAACCTCACATTTTGCCTTCAGCTGCCAATAACCGCCCAACTAAACATACAAGGCGCTCCGGTTTCAAAAGGTACAGACTCCCCTTGCACAAGACAGAAGAAAAGACAGCCAAAGTAAAGCCATTTCAAGTTTCTTTTTTCTGTATATGTGTGTGTTCTTCTATCCCTTTTCCCAATCTAGAAAAATCTGTTCATGTGACTGATGGTTTTAAAATTTGTTCTCCAAACTTTACCCTCTTCAAAAATGGGTTAAAAAGCCTTTATTCCCCAACAGTTACCAAACAAAACAAAAACAAACAAACAAAAACAGAACAAAACAAAACAAAAAGGCTTTTGTTAGCCGTGGGGGCAATACAAATTAATACAGCCCCTCATAGGTTTTAAACAGTGAGTGTACGGCAGCTTCCAAACCCGACTGCAGTATCTAGATACCTACGTACAAAAACTTCAACAGTTTAATGCTAAAACAAAATCAGTTCTCTAAAACCAGAAGAAATTCTTCTTTAGAGCTAGTGCAAAGACAGCTTGTATCCTACAGCAAGTACTCCAAACTAGAATATAGTAATTACAAAAAATATATAAGTGACCATGGGTTTGGCCTCTTCATGAGGATGGTAGCCGAGATGGCGGCACGTCCACAGTCGCTCTCTTGCGGGGGCCTCTTTTTGGTGTGGGTTTGTTGAGACAGTTCTCAATGCCGCCGTGTTTGCCAGACACTTTACCACATATCTGGTTGACCAAACTGATGATCTGCTCCTGCCGGGATAACAGAGAGACCGCATTAAGTTAGTACAGCAAAGGGGTCCCAGACAACAAACATTACCTCAGCATGAGGACTTATGAGTGTGTTGCACCAGACATGGGCAAGCTTTCTAAATAGCTTTAGGATTCAGAGATGCATAAGACTTTTGAACAGGACAGGACGACACCTAAAGAAGCTGGAGAGACCTTTCCATTGCTGAGAGTATACACAGCTTCCTCTTACAGGAGGAGCTGGACTCCCAAGGCCCACTTCTGCCACTCATAAGTGTCTTGTAACTCTAGCACCAAGGAACTGAATGCCTTTGACCTCTAGTGTACTGTACCCCCCATATATGTAACTTAAAGTATTTATTTTTGAAAAGAATTCCTCCCAGCCAGGGGGCAGGCCATCTCCTGGCCCTGAATCAAATAGTTGGGGTAGGGAAGAGAGACACCTGCTGCAGTTATCTCTTGAAAGAATCAATGTGAAAAGAAAAAAAAAATCCAGAAATTAAGAACAGCAGCCATCTACCATTTGCTCATCACTGAAAGAGGTGAACAAGCCGAGGGCAATACTTGAGAGCTCACCCTGGTGGAGAAAATCAAGAGAGCTGCTGGGCTGATAAACCCTGCAACCCAGGCCCAGAACCAGGGTTGAGTTAGCCCACCCCATCTGTCATCTGCTGGAGCCAAAGCTGGAAGATCTCCACAACACAGGGCAACAACAGGATAACCAAGATGAGTTCCAGTGAGGGCCCAGTGTTGATGGTGTAGCAGAAACCAGAGGCCTTGAACTCTGCAGATGGTAAAGATGTGTGGATAAAAGGATTTACTGTGGCACACTACAGCTTCCATGATGAGATTTCCCCCCTGTTAAATTTTATTTTATCTTGGGTGGGGGTGGGGGTTACAAGGTTAGAGGTCAGATATAAAGGGACAGGGAAATAAATGGGATTGGGATGCATGGCAAGAAAGACACAAAGAATCGAAAAGTTTAAAAGCAAAAAAGAGCAGCCAGATCTGAGAAGAAGTGCAAGCCCAGGACAGGCATGGCTAAGTAGGATGGCCAGTTACATTGCTGACTTCTTGCCAATACCACAAGGCACCTACATTCATGTTTCTAAATGGCCAGCTTATCTTGCTGTGCCCCACACTGGGGTGCTTCATGGGCACCAGCTTTGGGACTATGCTAAAGTTAGTTCTCCAGTATGAGACATTACCAAGTCACATGACTCAAAGAAGGAATAGCCACATCCTTGTTCCTCACCCTTCATCTCTCTACCAAAATGTATCCACAGTGGTAGTCCACACTTGGCAATCACAGGTCTCCAGGGGTCGGGGAAGAAGAAAACACATTTGGGGCCAGCCTGGGACACACTGGCTGTCTAAAAATTGAGAGCATGGGCAGGAAACCCAAATACCTAGCAGGGTGGCTAGGCACCATGATTGAGGAAAGGATGCAGCTCTGGACAAAAGGCTCCTGAGGTTCACACAGTGGAGCTCTGTCTCTGAAAAGTCATAGAAGGAACTGAAGGCCACAAAAACCTAACACATCTGCTGACTTAACACAGGGCCCTTGCCTCCTGTAGACTGACTCCCTTGTGCCAAGCTTGGAGACACAGTGTGAAACTTTGCCTTCTGTCCTCATGCAGCCAGGCTGACATGTGTCCAGGTAGGTGTCTCCTGGGAGCTTCACAGTGCACAAGAGGAAAACTGGGGTGTGGAAGGGACAGGCCTGGAATCCCTAGCATATCTGTCATTGGCCTGGACAGGAGTGCTCATCGGTGGGCTGCACAGGACCTTGAAATAGGAGCATTTATTGATCCTACAAACTACTTGACCTCGATTCAGGACTGTTACTGACTTCCTTAACTACAGCAAGCCTCTGGTGGAGGGAGAGGCTGTTATGTGCATTTTTCCTTTCCCATCAAAGCCAGGGACTAGACAGACATCAGACCACCAGATCAATGTGCTGCTGTACTTTCAGGATGTTAGTCGTAGTAAAATGTTTTCACCCCACTGCTCAGCTTCTAGCAGCACATTCAGGAAAACGGTTCCAGCCTGCCCTAATCATGTGCTCAGATGCCGTCCCTGGTTGTGCTTGCTGTGGCCAAATCTGGGCCCTGGCTGGGGGAGGTGGGGGGTGGGGTGGTAGTTTTAAACACATTGTGATATTTGCTGCTCACATAACAAAGTAGGAACTACAGAAGTGTGTTATCGTCGCTGAACACAACAGGAATAAATAGACCTGCTTTCTGCTTTGCAGCCTTGTAACATGAGTCCGACCTACACCTGACTCACCCTTGGCAAGCCTGGGACAAGTAAGTAAAGGCCTTGAATTTGAATGCACTACTGTCTACCTGATCCAGCCTCAGGGAGCACAACCAAGGAGGAAAGTGATAGGGCAGAGCCTGGGACAACATGGATAATGTGCTACACAGCCAGTCACAGAGCTGGGGAACACAGTGGTGATGGCCACTGTCCAAAAGGTGACACTGCCTGACTCAGGGCACCAGGTTGCCAAATGTGCAGCACCAGGCAAAACAGGATTGGCACATCCCATCCCATCAGAGAACTGGAAGCCGTCAGCCAAGGAGACAGGAGCATGTGCTGCAGCCTGTGAGAAATCTGGAGAGGGATGCTTGAGATGTTCCTTGACCCAAAGTGGGGTTAGAAGTGGAGAAACAAGAGCAGCTTCAGCCAGAATGTAGCTCAATACTGTTGGGGTGGGCAAGGCAATAAAGTATACACACTGCATCGATAGTACAAGTTAGAAGACCAACTAGAATAGTAAATAGTGTTTGTTCCGCTGGTGAAAGAAAAGGTATGGACGGAGGTTCATTTACAGGCTATTATCAACCTATGATTTCAGAACCCCTGGGAGTCAATCCTTTCACAGGGGTCACATAACCAGATATCCTGCATATCAGATACTTATGACTCATGACAGGAGCCAAATCACAGTTTATGGTGGGGGTCACCCCACCATGAGGAACTGTATTAAAGGGTAAGAAACGCTGACTTAGAAGGTGAGGTAGAACTTGATGCAGAATCCCATACTGAGAAAAAAGAAAAAGGGTATGAAGCTGTGGAGACAGTGTGGCTCACAAGTGGACTTGATTCCCAGCAGGTCGGCAGCGCAGGAGGCCATATTCCAGGGCTGCCAGGGAGTTGGGCCCCCAAGGTAAAGCATTCTACTATGAACACAGAACATGGAATCAATGGTGAGTGAAGGGGCAGCCATGGCCAGTGCAGGTGTCCAAATCATGCAAGGAGCATTGCCATCACAGACACACACACACACACACACACACACACACACACACACACACACACACCCGTCCTGACTCAGTGTGTTCACAGTATCACAGTCTGAAAAGCAGATATGAGACCCATCCCCCAGGGCTCAAATGATCCCTTCCCACCATAACAGCACACAATCCACAGCCGCAGAAGTCCCTAAGGCAGCTCTTCTGCACGTTTCCTGTGTGTACAGACAAGGTCAGAGGAGGCTGCAGCTCATATTCAGCATCTCATGAGGCCTCCACTCCAAGGCCAAGCAAAGACTCCAAAGAACCGGTATCTCATACTTAAATGTTCTGTGGCTAGCACAGCCAATGGCTGGCTGCAAAAGGCCAGGAGAAGCAAGACATGATTTAGCAGCTGCTAGCAAGGAAGCTTGTTAGTGAAAAGGTGACAGATTCACTGAGCAATGCCACCTAAAGGCCAATGTCGCCCTTAGGATACCCCAGCCCGAAGGCAAAGTGGGAAAAAGCTATAGAAGTTGCCTGGCCAGGAAGGTTGACAATCATTCTGTTGTGTGTAGAACCACCACAGGTGAAGAGTACCAAGGCTGGCAGTGCCGCCAATAGGCAATCAGAACTGTGCCAGAAATGGCCTTGGTGGCAACTCTTTCTGACCCATATTTAACAGGCTCAGGAGACAGGAAAATGCTCTGTGGAGAGCTTGAGTAGTCATGGAGGTAGAGAGTTGATTCCCAAAATGCAGTTATCAAGGCAGGTGCCAGAGTGAATAGCCCTGGAGGGCCATCTCAGGGGACAAGCACCTCCTGTGCAAGAAGCAAACCTGCCATGTGGAAAACACACAGAATCTGACAAAGGTACCAGCACTCTGTAGACTGGGCACTGAGGATCTGACGTGGGGGTCGGAAGACACAGCATAACTCAAGCTACCATCTCTCCAGTCTAGACATGGATGGCTAGCTCCACTATAAGTCCTTTAGCCTCCGTTCTGCAAGCATGGCTAGGCCCTGCGCTAATGTCATCTGGGCTAAGAAGGCCTCTATGGTACCCAGGGCTCTGCCCAAGTCAGAACTGACCTCGTCGTAGCGGTACATCAGCTTCAGCCCACGGCAAGACTTCTGTTTCTCCACATGGCGCAGTGCACACTCCAGACAGAACACAACATTCTCGTTCTCCTGAACCACCTTTAGGGGAAGGATACAAGCTGAGTTTAAGGCAGTGGTCAGTGACTTACAACAGTGCAAACTGATGAGAAACCAACAAGGTTTCAACAAGGTGGGGAATGAGGCAAGAAAGGAGCAGCTCCTGCCTTAGCTTTCCAAGCCCGTCCAGATCTATGCACCTCATCATAGAGGTGGGACAAAATATACTGGTATTGGCTTAGAAGGCTTAGAATTCAGACTTGGAGAGTTTCTGACCAAATTATGTTGGCTGGGCTCCTAATCTTTAGTACCCCTGAGGACATGCATGCTGCTGCCTCCCAAGCATGCGCCCTGCTACCTGAAGTCACATGAAAAGACACTAACACTGGGGGGCCTAAGAAGGGCACATGTAATCTCACCCTTTATGAGACCTCAGGTCCTATCACCTGGATGTTATAATAAATAGGAACAGTGGTTCTGACACTTGGGTGCAAATATTTGTTGGGCTTTTAAAAAATATTTTAAAGGCTTTTTCTCAGAAGCTTCCATGCAACAATAATTTCTGGTTGCCCCTTTCAATGACTCCAAGGGCTAATCACAAAGAGTTTTGAGCAGTGTAAGTTATTAGGATTAATAAAACCTCATCAAGGTAAATATTTATTGCCAGCCTTACAAAATCTAGAAACACAGATGAAATACCTCTGGGTATGTAGAGGATGTTTTTCAAAATGTTTAATTGAGTATGGTGGAACCTAGGCGGAATAAAAACTAGAGGGGTGGGGGCGGGGTACCAGCATTCCTCTTGATTTCTGACTACAGACACAAGGTGGCTTACTGTGGCCAGCTGACTCTTGCTTTTGCTACCATGGTCTGAGGAGGCCAGGGGCTGGATGAAGGCTTGGTGTTGGGACCCACGGTAGGTTAGCATGGAGCCCACGTGCATAGACTCACCATGGACAGGTAACACAAATGCTGGCAGATCTGGCACCTCCTCTCTGACGTTTCCAGCTGCAGCCACTTTCGAGGCTTTTTCTTACCATCCGCCACCATGCTGTTGCCATCATGGCTGCCATAGCGGGCTGAAGAGTGAAGGCCAGCCTCAAACAGCTGCCTGCGCTGCCGCAGCTCTGTATCCCTGTGTAGGTGAGTGACAGGCACCATGAGAAGGTTGCATGCCCACAATGGACACCTGGTTCTTCCAGAGAACATGCCATGACCCCTTTAAACTATAGACTTGTTCTCCAAGACAACACAGACAGGCCATGGGGTAAAAAGCCTAGCAAACCTTCCTAAAGCACCAGCCAGAGGCCATGTACTTCAGACAAGAGAGCCATGGGGTGACTGGATTTTGCTCAAGATTACAAATATTCTTGCTCAAAGTCAAGGACAAATTTTTACCTATTTGCTAGTCCTACCCTTGAAGATTTTATCTAGCTGGTGGGCATCTTTATGTTTCCCATCAACATATTCCCCCAGAGAGGGAAGCCTCAAGAGGATTCAAGTGAGGTCAGAGTGTAACACAGAGAACCGGGTACAATACACACCCTGTTCTTCAATGACTGTCTGGCCTATGTGAAGCTGAGAAACACCTTCAACACGTGTGGAATACAAGCTGGGCCAACTTAAGGGGACAAACTAGCACCACAACAGAGTCGGGTAATATTGGTGCCTATAATACTCGATGGTTTGTGTGTCTCTATCTGGAAGAGAGCCTAGGGTTGGGCATGGTGAGCTCCTCTTCTAACTACCACCCCAACACTAAAGCCTAGAGCAGAGTATTACAAAAAGGTGAGTCCACATCAACCATACAGAGGAATGACAAGCTGAGATCACACACTTCATATTGGCTCACCAGGAGCTTCAGAGGCCCAGTATCATCCAGGAAGACAAGAAGGAACACAGCACAGAACAAAAAAGGGCTTCCCAACATATAAGCCTCAGAGGGGCTGCAGTTCTGGGAACTACTACCAGTTTACTCCGCCCTGTCCTGCAACCAGCTGTGTTGCATCCCCTGAAGTCTTGGGATCTTGGTCTACAGTACCTGAGCTCGTCCAGAAGGGCTGAGATGGTACTGAGGGTGGGACCATTTTCCTTTTTTGCTTCTGCTTGTGCAATCTGGTAGAGCAACTTCTCCATGGAGAATGGCTTAGCTATATGGCGGCGCTTCATCTCCTGAAAGAGGAGTCACCTTTACAAAAGGGTCTATTTCCATGAGTTAATGAGCAGCCAGGGTCCATAGTGGCAGGTAGCCACATCGCTTACCTGAAGAACAGCACCAGATTCCAGGGAAGACCTAGCTAGCACCTCATTGTCAGCCATAAGGCAGCAGCACAACCCAGAATGGGCAGAGATGTTCTATGTATTCCATTTCTAGCCTCCCCACAACTGCGGAATGGCTAGTAATAGAAGTCAAAAGCCTTCTTGATAAAGCCTGAAAACCTTTGCTAGAGAAAACTTTCCAGCCAGCTCTTGAGGATCTCCACCCAACAGTGCAGTGAAAGGAGCTCAGGGGCTAAGGTTTTCCAACATGAACTTCACACTTGCAGTCTACACAATGCCTACGGCACACCTGCACTGCTTGCTTACCTTGGCAGTCTCGAAGCCCATACTTGTCCATTGGGTGGTAGCAAAGTGCACTGTTTCTGAGACGCTGTAGCCACAACACACTTTAGACACAAAGGACCCCGGGAAGCAGACAACAAACTGCCCGCTCTGCTGCACAGTCCTGTGGACCTTGATCCCCTCTTTACACAGCACCTCTGGGGAGATCTGCAGAGATAATGCCAACTGAGATATGTGCCCACTTTGATCAGCCAGGCAAACCCATGTCCCGTGGCATAAGGACACCAGCCAGGTTATGTGGATATTCAGTTGACAGGAACCCTGATGGAAGGGCCGCAAAAGAACCAGATTATAGTTCTCCTTCAGAAAATAACAACAAAACAACAATCATGAAGCACAAGCCAGTGGTAGTCTAAGAGGTTTCTACCATAGTTCGTTCCTTCTTAGGACCGCAACCCTTTTGGAGCACTTCCTCCCCCAGCCAGCACTGCCAGGAGCTGCCAACATAATCAGTTCCCTGCTGTGTGGGTGACAACAGACCTACCATGACATTGCTCTCCAGCATTTGCAGCCCTGGGGTACCATTGGCCTGCAGCAGGGTGTGGACCACGCCCTCCAGCTTGTTCTCCTCCTCAGCAGGAATGCAATACCTGGGATGTTGGAAACACAGGAGATACTTGGTGGAACCTTTTTCGTCATGGACCAACCTCAGAGAGGGCAGCTGAGCTGTAGTGCTGGCCCAGTGCCCTGCTCTGTCACTGTTGGCTGCTTCTGCCCTGCACAAAGCCAAACCACAAACACGGCCTTATACACGTGGCTCACTTTATGCAGATCTGACCCACAAGGTGGGCCAAAAAACCTTCAAACCAAAGCCAGATATAGTTAAACCTCCTATAAATCAGAAACACACACAACTGCATCCCCCTCAGCTTATGTGAGTTCTCTGACACTGCAAAGAACTGTCTGGCTCTCAAGCATAGGAACAGGATTTGATGCTGTTCCTAACAAGAAAACATGGGTACATGGGGGCCCCTAGCCAAGGCAACCAGGGAAGACCTAAAGCTCCCGGCCAGAAGAGACCTGGGAAAGGACCAAGCCCAGTGTGCACACACACAGCTCCTTTCCCAGGAAACCAGGAAATCAACAGAGACCTGGGCAACTCTCACTCTACCAGTGTGTCAGAACCCAGCTTGAAGGAAGTGTGGTTAGTAAAACACCTAAGAGAAGGAAGATAAGAGTCTTCTTAACATGGGAGCAGAGAGTGACCATAAGGAACGCTGTGGGTCTAGGACATACATACTAAAGCTTATGGAGCCCTCAGTGGGAGAAAAGGCAATAAATACAGGTAACTCAAAGGGAGAATCTAGACCTCACAGCAGTAGCAGAGGTTGAACATTTTCCTGGCTCTATCTCAATGCCTCACGCAGCCCACCATCAAGAAAATGCCAATTGTACCACAAGATCCTCCTGGTTCACATGGTTATGAGCAAAAGTATGAACAGAAGCCTATTCATGAACTACAGGGAGCCAGCTGCAGGACAGGGTCAGCTGGCTGAATGACTATTGCCGAAACAAATGGCTAACATGGTAGACTGGGGTCTTAAAAGGCCCTGGGGCTGCTGCAGACATCAAATCTCTCATCACCACTGATAACATGGGAGCACAGACAGATCTGTCGGCCTCAGCAGTAACTGCCAGTGGCCCCTCCTCCCTCAACCATAGACACAAGTTTGGCCAGCTACCCCAACATTCAATAGTCAATTACACAATTTTATCTCTTTGCAGCAAATCACGGCCTCAATTGCTGAAAGAAGGTACCAGCCACATGTTTCTTTCTTAATGTTTATATCATTTCAAAGCCATTATTAATGCATGATTGAAATGCTGAGTTTCTAATATATATTACATGTAAGAAAACGATGCGCCATACAGTTCTCTGATCATATCCTTGGCTCTACTTTCGTCTATGCTGTTAAGAGACCAAGAAAAGCAGCTCACAAAATCTCAAGTTTCAATCAACCCCTTCAACTACACATTCAAGCTATTAAAATAACCTACACGTGCCACTTCGAGCTTGCCATGCTGAACAGTTTATGTCAACTCGACACATCTGAGAGAAGGAACTTCAGTTACGAAAAGGCCTCCAGAAGATCCAGCTGTACGCAGGCCTGTAAGGCATTCTCTTAATTAGTGATTGATGGAGGACACAGCCTATTCTGGGTGGTGCCATCCCAGGGCTGGTCGTCCTGGGTTCTATAAGGAAGAAGGCTGAACAGGTAGGTCATGGAGAGCAAGCAGTAAGGATCTCGCCCCTCCATGGCTTCTGCATCAGATCCTGCCTCCAGGTCTCTGTCCTTGAGTTCCTGCCTTGGCTTTTAATGATGAACAATAGATGATGATGTGGGAATTTAAGCCAAATAAACCCTTCCCTACCGGCGACTTACTTTTGGTCATGGTGTTTCATTACAGTAATAGCAACCCTGACTAAGACACCTCGACTAAGATTTTCACATAAGCATGCCACAGGTCAGTGTTAGCCACAGAAGCATCTGCACCGAGTGGGACCTCGGCCATAGATTCTCAAAGAAACACAACTGTCCACAGGGGTATAGCATTCCACAGCTGCCGGCTGCTCTCTGGCTCGTGACCACTATGATCCGGTTCCACATGTCGACTCATACCACCAGCCGCACCCCAGGAATCCCCACAGGACACTGGAGATCACACTTAACACAAAGACCTCCTCCTTGCTCATCAGGTCATAAACAACTTGTACCCCACACTAGCAACCTGCCGTCCACATGGGCTCCAGAGAGACATCAGTTGAAGACTGTTTACTTAATAAAGAACATTCGGTCACCCCATTAGGTAAATTAGCAGTTAGTGGCGATGACTGAGACCAGCATGCCGTGAGACTATGAGATGGGATAGCATACGATATGCAGTCAACCACCACCTGCTGCTCTCAACACAGAGCTCAGAGGACCAACAAAGAACACACTGCTCAATGTTTCAGCTCTTGTAAAGGCCACTCAGATGAAGCTGCCCATCTAGACAAGCCCCCCATGGCACTGGGGAATGCTGCCATGAGATCAACTCTTAGAATTCCACAACACATATAACTGGGAGGCCCCAGAAGGGAAGCAGACTAAGCAGGCAATTCACAAGAGAACAACACAAAAGGCCAAGAATGGAAAACATCTTTTGCTACCCCACAACCTCCTGTGGCAGAGGTAGAAAGCACATGCCCTGGCTAGGGAAAAAATGCATTTCTTCCAGCTGCTGCAGGCTCGGGCCCTTTACAGCACCAGTTAGTGGGATGCCTAGAGCAGCGTGCATCCACTGCTGTGGGTCAGTACTCACCAAATGCAGTCAGCACCAGTGTGTAAGTAGTCGATATATGGAAGGTGATTTTGGTCTCGAGACCAGCATGAGGTAGAAAAGACCATGCCAATATTTAGCCAAGGAATAGTCACTCCTGCAATGTAAGAGCAGAGATGTCATGTCAGAGCAACAGAGCTTCAGTGTGGCGGCCATTAAAAGTTTCCTCCGGGGGAAATGCGGTTTTACCTCTCCCACACATACCACACCAAGAAAAAGATGGACACCTGCGCTTCCCCATTAGCTACACAGAATGAATCCTCTAGCTTGTTGACCCTTAGAGCTGAGAACGAATGTGTAAAGCACGAGGGACTGAGAAGCCTGGCGTGAGTGCCTGTCTACAGTCAGCAGGTGGGATACAAAGTTTCTGGCCTGGGTGGAAAGGAGTCTCTCAGGCTTCCCATTCCAAGGCCCAAAGAATTCACAGCAATCAGAACCTCCACAGGATTTTGTTTTGCCTAAGTCAAAAGCAGTCTTACTACTTGGCCCATTTATTGTGGCTGCTGGCAAAAAGAGCACTTAGGATTCGGTTTTAAAAACACCTTTTTAATACTCCAAGTTAAACTAGGCTCACCAGATTCTTAGATTTTGACAGGTGGGGGTCCACATTTTCGAGACTTTAATTGCAATCTCCCCCCTCTCTCCCAATGTTAAAATGTCAGTACATGTACTCTGCAGCTAAGACGCCAGGCCTCTCTCCCAGGCCTTAGGAGAAGCAGCCTGGCCTTGCTCTTGGCAGTCACACTTACCAGGCACAGCACCAAGGTGACGCAGGATGGACCCTGTGTTATTGGGGAGGACGGTGAGGTTCCATCCATGCCTGCAGAGGGAAAAAAATGGGGGTATAACAGGCTGGTGGAGAAGTGCACTATCTAGTCCCTGAAACGTGGACAAAATCCTGGACCATTACCTTGAAAAGGGCTCTGATTTTCCCACCGGGAACCCGCTGCCATGGGTATTAGTGTCCACTTTTCCGCAGTGGACTGCCACATGACAGTCCTTCTCTTCCACTAGCCTCCAGTACTCTTGCTGTAAAGAAGAGGAAGCCAGTCATGGTCTATTTGGTACATGAAGCCCAAGACACAGTTGGAACATTATATCCAGGACAAGGTGTCTGTGAAGAGACTCCCATAAGCAACTCCTGCAGAACCTAAAGGCAATGGTACAGCTGTCCTCCCTGAGGACACACCCTCAGACCAACAGTTGACACGTGGGATGACAGCACTGTCAGGGGAAGCCACCCACACGTACTGTGAGCGAGTGGAGAAACTGAATGTGGCTCTAACAGTTAGAAACCCTGAGGCAGTGGCTAAAGCTTGAGGGCAGCACACTCAGGGTCATGGGCTCAGTCTGTGCAGCAGATAATAGAGTCAGAAAGCAGACCAGGGGCTGCCAGGCAGAGGGCACGGTTAGTCTGTAAGGGGCTCAGAAAACTGAATTATGATTTGGGACAGTTATCACTGATGTGAATCTCATAGAAATGTATACTTAAATGCCTGTCACAGTGTTTGAGTGAAAGGAAGTGTGGATTCCAAAGCTCAAGTAAAACTGGATGCAGTAGCGTCCATATGTGATACCAGCATACCCACCACCTTCCTCCTGCACTTTGAGTCAGCTTTCCCTCCCTCCACCTGAACATGAACCTGAGTGGAGAAGAAGCTCAGCCACTGAGCACCCAGGATCAGTCTGCAACTCAATTCCCAGGAATGTGAGGGACAGTGACTCCTCACAAGAAGGGCCTTTCTAAAAGGAAAATGGCCACAAACCATAAAGCAATGCAATCCATTCCTGAATGGACCCTTGCCCACAAAGAACAGCCTGTGACTCAGAGACTGAGCAGAGCTTAGGCAGACCAACAGCCACCAATCTCAAGTAGAAACACAAGGACTCATTCCACATAAGCAGTTGCCAAATCAAGTCCCTGTTCAACAGGAGAGGAAAAGGCCCTGCCGTTTCCATAAGACAGAGTCCAAGGCACCAGCCAGGTACAAACTGAAATCTGAGTTTCTGAAAACCTTCACTTTTGCTTCTAAATATTCAGGTAAAGACTACAGAAAAATGTAGTCTTTCTGAAGAAAAAGAATTCAAGAATTCCTACACAAAAGCCTGTAAAATGAGCTGTGGACAATAAGCAGCAGCAGCAGCAGTTCCTGGAGATGCCACAGCTAAGCCCTCTCTCATCGGGCATGTCTGACAGTGTCAGGAGGCATCAAGAAGCACCTGTGATGGCCACACGGGTGTCGGAGCAGCCCAATGTAATGGCCATCCTACGCAGAGCTGAGCATGGATCTGAGAGAGGATCTCAAACCCCAAGTCACACAGCTGGAATGGGAAGAGTATGATCAGTAAATAGAATTTTCCAAAGCCCTGAGATCAGAGTCCATCAGGAGAAACTGCACCCCTCAACACACTCCTCTTCCGAGCTATGACTGCTCTGAGCCAGGGATCTGAATGAACTAACTGGCTTCTCTTCCTTTACAAACCAACTACGGCTGGGTTCCTATGTCAGCAGCTGTAGTCCTAGGGACTCTACTGGGCTGTGGCCAGGGAATGTAAACAAACAGGACTGCCTTCGTCCTGCAGCACCTCTCACTAACAGCCGCTAATTGGGCACACAAGAGCTCACTGTATTTCCAGCATCACACTAACTCCAAGAGAGAGCTGGCAATGGCACAAAAACGGTGACCTGCCAATCCCATTACATGAAGAACGGGAGAGGAGAAAAGCACACCATGACTTCAGGGAATTCCAAACATTCTCCTCCAGAACACACAGGAAGGATTGGGGAGAGGAGTTTACGGAGGACGAAAACTGCTAGCTGGACCAGTGATGGGAACCCAGACACGCCCCTCAGACCCCTCCAGCAGGGGCCATGGAATCTCAGTCTTCAATGGACTAAGTCTTCATTGTCAAGAGAAAATGCCTGGCTACCCCAGCACACACAGGACAACCCCAGCCTCTGTGCCCCTTCACACTACACCAATCCTGAGGGCTCCTTCTAGTGTCGCGGGAGAGTATATGGAGTGGACCAGCTCACCTCGATCTCTGCTGGCGCAGGCTCCTTGCTGAAGCACATGTTCATGATGTTCCTTGCTGTTCGATAAAAAGTTGTTAGTGAAACAGATCTTCCCTGAAACAAAGAAAACAGAGTTGAGCCTTGGTTTTATACCAAGACATAAATCTGGTTGTCACAGATGTTTGACCAATGGCATCCCCATGGTGACAAACCACACTGTTCTCAGGAGGTGACAGCATCCCCGTTAAGTGTGCGATCCCAGCACACTGCCTCCAGAGCACTAACTAGCAGTGAACATGGAGACTGTAGAATGTGGGCTTGTTCTCCAGCAAGGCAGGGCTCTGAATAGAGTTCTCAGGGTGAGAAAGTGACTTTTCCTTACAACTTGAAAAGCTTTCCCAACTTTCTCTTCTTACAAAATAAAAGCCCAAGTACACGGAAAATCTAATTTTACATGAAGTATTGCAGACAGACACAGTAAGCAAGGGTGAGGACATGCTGGTGCTGCCAGCAGTGCCCCAGGGTGCTGAGATGCTGTATACAACTTTGGCCAAGCACATCGGGTTTTTCCAATTACATCTAAAAAATAGCTTTGACAATGCAGGTTTATAAGATCAACAAGAAAAACGTCCTTGGGTCTGATACACTCTCACAGTACTGGTTTAAACAGCTACCAAAGGACTGGAGAACACCTCAGTTCAGAAGGTACTGGTCTGGGATCCCAGGATTTGATGAGTAGATTTAATTAAAGAGGACAGCTTCCCAGTCATTTAAGATACAGACCAAACAAACAAAGGAGCACTCAGTACCAGGATCATTTTTCCATTGTCACAAAAGCTATTTCAAGCACAGCGGAGTGGACTGTAAGTAGGTGTTCTCAGGTAGCAATTCAAGTAGATGAAGACTAAACCCTTTCTGAGTCTAATAACAGACAAACCTGTAGAAATGCCTGAAGTCCAGAAATTTCCAAGTTCTAAGCTGAGGTCTGCTGATAGGCTAAGCCTCAAAAAAAGGATGCAGTAGGATCCAGGGCAAGTAAAACTCCTCTAAGAGGTCCTACGGTTTATGGTGGCAATCATTACAGAGGCACAGGCTGAAGCCTGAAATGGCATGACCATAGGAACCTGGCAGACAACCAGGAAAGGTGCTGACTGACCTAGCTGATATAGCAGAAAGCTGTCTAACTCAGCACTCCCTAAGAGATACAACAGAAGAAAGCCAACCAAGAATTCTTCCCGAAGGGAATCCAGATAAGGGTTTCAACTGGGAGGAATACTCACACAGCATCTACAAGCTGGCCCTGGGGTGTCTTTCCCATCTGCCCTTCCCCCTAAACAGGCCAATAGAAGGGAGCTCCAAATCTTGGGAAGCAGATGCTGGACTGCAAACTCTGTTTTCAGCCAGAAGCAGGGAGACTTGTGCCCAACCATCAGAAGTAATTTCACTTCCCAATCTCTTTCCTGCCTCTTTTCTGCACTGCTGTTAGTGGTGAGATTCATGTCTAGATTTATCTGTTCCAGCTCTCTTCATCAACACCTAACACTGGGCTGGATCTACAAGTCTTTTTGAACATAAAATAAGGAGGTAGAAAAGAGCGTTCTCAGAGCCCACAGCCCAGCCTGAACAGCTCCGGGCAAAGCAGTACCGTCAGAGGCCAGGCCAGAAGCAGAGTCATGGGACCAACAGACGGACCTCATCTTTGTGCCCCTGAGAGATTCGCAAACACAAGTAAAAGACACATCATTTAAGGGAAGTCGGAAAAGCCCTGGGAGGCAAACTACTCATCCATATCTTATGATGCCAAGCCTCAAACCTGAATCCTTGACTACTTAACTGCTCAGCCTCCCCAGGCAGGCCCAACTGTCTATTATTGGTGTACAAGACAGAATTCTGTTGGTGGGATCAGCTATCCCAAGAATCTGAATGTATGTCCCTCTACAGTGTGTGGTAAAATCAGCACTGTGACAGTACTATGGAACCACGCAGAGCACTGTCTGTGTGCTTCCACGGGGCTGTCAAATACTAGAACACTCACCCAAAGCTACAGCCGATCTTCCAGAACCAAAGCCAACAACTTTCCATTTATTATTCCTCCTTTGTGATACTAAGTCACAGCACTCAAAACAGACGAAGGCAGTGACCTAGCATTTGTCACAGCGGGACAGGCAGCCTCCTCCGGCTCCACCAGGGCAAGGGCCACATTGTTCCTACCCTGCAGCTGCAGGTTATGAGAACCACAGAGCCTCTTACCTTATAGATGCACTTGTGGAAGTCACTGAGGACACCTTTGTCCTCTTCCTCCTCTTTGACCACTTCTTTTTCCTGAGCGAACAATCGCCGCCGGCCTGTCTTGAGAGGGGCCTGGCCCACCTCCTTGAGCTTGCTACGGAAGCCATTCCTGGGTGTAACGCCATGGATGAGCCCATTTTTGGGCTCAAAGCGGGGCAGGGAGTGGAACTTGTGGTGGTCGTTCTCTGTGTGCCCCTCTAATGGCCCTTTGCGCTTCTCTAGGATTTCCTTCTCCATCAGCACCTCCTTCTCCAGCCGTCGGTGTTCCTCGGGGGACAAGGAATCGTAGGAGAGCAGGTACTGGCAGTAGGCCTCCTGCAGCTTGGCCAGCCGGTCCTGGGCAGTCTTGGGAATGCGCAGCATGTCTGCTAGTTTGTTCCATTTTTTGAGGTCAGTCACTTGCTGCATGCCGCCCATCTCATTAATCAGCCGGAAAAAGCAGGCCAGGTCGAGCTCACAGCCTCCTGGGCAGTGATGGGGGAGGGTGCGGAAGAGGAAATGGTTAAGAAGGACATAAAGGACCAATCTCCCACCCAGGCTCCAGGTTAGAGCAATGAGCAGCTAATGTACAGCTATGAACATTACTGGGCACTAGGAGACATGAACATGGCTGAGTACCAGGAGACAAAGCAAACTGAGGGGCCATCATCTCAGGAAGGGACTGAACAGAAGGAGGGGCAGAGGGAAAGAGGTAGCCAGGCATAGCGGAGGATCACCGCATCGGTGCCCAGGTTGTGGGCTTAGCAGGAACTAGAGCACTATTATTCCGAGGGTAGAGGGACCGGAGCAGAGCTGTGGTGACCGTGGGCAGGGCAGAGGCGAGCTTAGAGCAGCTCTGCTGTGGGGAATTACTACAGTCTCTTCCCAAAGCCTAACACTCACTCACAAGGGGGCTTATTCTCTCATCCGAGACAGACACCACAGTTGCTGCTTATCTCAGAAGATGAGAGTGGAAATGTTGATCAAAACTCAAACATTGGCTGAGCGGTATGGCTCAGTGGTACAACACCTGCCTAGCCTCTGTAAGACACACAAATCAAAAATAAAGCCAACAAAACAACAAATCCATCTCATGGATTAAAATGCAGCCCTTACTCTAAGCACCTGGGTGGAAGGTGGAGAAGCTGCCTCCCGGGAAAGAAGAATACTATCAACAACACAGCAGTGGAACAAAATAAAAACAAGAAATCCCTCCGTCTTCAAAAGCAGGGCTGCACTGACATCAAAACTAAAAGAAGCAAGGCTTCAGATGACACAGTAACAGGGGCCGGCTAGGTGAGCCACCGTGAGGGGAAGGGGGGTTGGGTTCCCTGTCCACCAGGCAAGGATCGAGTCCCTGAACTCTTCCGTCAGTAAGATAAAGAAGACAGTAGCCTGGATACATTTATTGCAATACAGGGAAACACCTGGATCGAATTGGTTGGAAGCAAAAGTCAGGAAACTCCTAAGGAAACAGCTCTCAGACTCAGCATAGTGGTCAGCCGTGCTTTAGGAGCTCACAGTACTACAGTGACATAAATGAGGTTTCTGTCTCCTGACTTCCAGTTAACACCTAAATGATATGCAAAGCTTGCTAAGTCGCTTATAGGGCTCTTGCCAGGCCTATACATCACCCATCATTTCATGGCTATAGGGTCACTGAGTGACCTGTGCCACCAAGGCTTCACTTACTAAATGCCCTCTGGGAAGAGAGGCTCCCAGGAGACATTGCCACAGATAGGTACATGTACTCACTGTAGAATCTGAGAAACTAAACATTTCCTAATCCTGCCCAATGGAAGCCAAAGGTATGATGCCGCTATTGGTCATGGACTAAGTAATGGCAAACGAGATGAACATAACTGAGGACGGAATGAATCATGGCTTACGGCACTAGCTCTGCAATCAGGATTATGGGGAAAAGAAAAGATGCAACAAAGTGTCTGGGCTGTCATGGCGACAGTACTTGCCGACTCACCTGTCCCTGAACACAAAAGTGCTGTGCACTGAGGGAGTTAGAATGGCCCCTACCTACCTGAAGGCTTGGTGTGGGGGCGAGGGAGTACATACCCCTCCCTGTCTATGAGTTCTACCCAAAGCCTGCCATGCCATCTCTGGGAGCACACTCGGGGTCCTCATCAGGCATGTTCAATCGTAGCCTCTTGAGAACTAGGAAATCTCTACCTGCTGATCCTCGCTCTTGGCCTTGGGGTGACCTTAGGGGAGGGTTCTCCCTACCACAGACACGACACTGTTTCACATGAGTTGGAGCCTGCGGGAGGACGGTGGACAGTGCTGCTGCTCTCTGCCTTGAGGAACTGGCCCCTAGTACAAGTCACTTGGACTTCACTGGAGAAGTCCATCTTGGGCAAGAAGAGTCACAGTGGGGGACGGAAGCAGGCAAACGGAGCCATGCCTACAGGAGAGGCATTCCGCTTTCCCGGCCGTGCACCTACAACAGCAGTCCATGGTGTCCACTGCTAGCCAGAACCAAACCAGTCCTTGAGAGAAATAGAATCTGATCGCTTTATGTCTGCTCAAAGAAACTGAAGAGAAGTAGGGAGAAAGAGAGAGAAAGAGAAGGACAAACGAGGACAAGAGGGATGCAAAAATGGCAGGAGTTTACAGAAGGTTGCACGTAGAGTTATGAGGACAATCCGAGGTGGCATGCTGCTGTACACACCCTGAAACCGTACAATGTAATGGTGTTGTGAAGGAGTCTATAAAGTAACCACTAAGTTAAAATAAGGTCACCCAGGCAAGAGGTGCCCCACCTCACTGGTGTCAGACAGAGGGGAAAGGCACTGAGAGGACACAGGTGCAGCTGCCCACGAGAAGCCCCAGAAAGAAGCTTTAGCAGAAGTCAGTCCTGCAACATGCAGAATTAGAAAACGATCTCTGCTTTTGAAGCCACCAGTCCATGGTACTTTGCTTGAACAGCCTGAAATCCTCAGTCCATCCCTGGACACTGATCACCTCCAGCAGTATTAGACAGTCCAGCAGGGGGCCTGGGATCTAGCACCATGACAACCCCCTCCCCACCACCTCGTCTGTGGCCTCCAATTCCAAACTTCTTCCCACAAGCATCTGGGACCAGGGGAAGAAGGCTGCACTAGGACAGGGAAATGAGCTGAGAGCTCCACCTGCCCCATGCTAGGTCATGGCAAAGCTGAGAGAGGAGCCACTCAAGCCCACACCTTACCTATGAGGGGGAGCTCATCCATGGTGATGCCCTGAGATCTGAGGTGCTTCTTTATGCAGGCTAGCCGCTGTACGTTGGGGCCCCAGCGCCGGCCCAGCTTATGGATGTGCTGGATCTGCGTGACAAAGCGCATCTCATCGTTGAGTTTGCACTCTGGCCGCCAGTCTGGAGGAGGAATCACACGACACATCCCGTACTTCTCCACCTGAGCACGTACTGACTCGATGTAGATGAGAGGGTCATGGAACTCCTTGGCGGAGGGCCTGAGGACAGGGATCTCGTCCATTGCTGCCCACCCAGACCTGCCGATCCCCTTCTCTGGCTTGCCCTGCGGATCATGCGGCTTGTGCGAGGACTCGGGTTGCGAGGTAGAACGATGTTCACAGGGGGTGCCCTCTGCCTTCCCATGTGCTTGTTTGCCCGGCGTGTTCTTGCCAGCCGTGGCCCGCTTCGGCCTATTCCTTTCCAAACTTCGCTCGGGCACTTCTTTCTTCACGTGTCCATTCAGCAGAGACTTCTCTGCTGAAGCCGCTGAGGCCTTTTTGCCAGGGGCTTCTGCAGTGCCTGCTGCCCCTTTCATCTTCTTCGGGGGTGACTGCGGCTTGTCCACCTGCTGTGCCTCTTCCAGTCTCCTCTTGGAATTCCGCAGTCCCTCCCTCAGCTGCCGCCCCCCCACCTCCTTAGTGCATGACTTTGGGTTCAACCTGCTGCTGGCCTTGAGGCCATTGGCAGCAGGCCCGGTGGACGTGGACGCCCCCCCGAGGGATAGCACCTGTTTGCGGGTTTTTGCATTGCTACTTTCAGTTTTCCCTGAGATTGTGTGGTTGACAGCTGAACTGGGCTTGTGGTGGGTGGGTTTGGTTTCCTTGACCAGTTCTCTCTTGGCTTTGGTGTATGTGACAGTCCCCTTGGTCACTGTGGCAGTGTACTTCACAGTTTTGGATGGTGAAGGTCTGACTTCTCGGATCTTTTTGGCACTGGTTGTACCTGCACCCAGAGATGACATCCGAGTGACTCCATTTACTTTAGACACCTACGGAGGCAGCAGAATCGGGGGTAAGAGAAAGAATTAGTACCCAGGAAGAAACAGTGAGAAAGGACTACTACAGATGCTGGTTACAGGCTTGGGAGATCAGATAAATAAGGCAAAAGAGCCATCAAGCTTTAGTCTTTGATACTAGCATGATACGCTCACAACCTAGATCTTACCCCAGACGGTGCAGGCTGGCCTCTGCATTTCTTGCATGTGTCTGCATAGTAGCATTTCTTTGCATGGCTTTCAGAGAATCTTGGGCTCCATAGTGAATACCCATATGCGGACCTTTTAACTACCTATGCCAATTCTAAGAATCTATAACAGCAAGATTCTGTTCATTTGAGACAAGTGAGCAATAGTTTTTAAAAACATATAAAATAGTTTTCTAAGTATACATCCCAGTAGCTAACCTCTGTGTGATGTGGGAGGGTCTTCTGTTTTGTGTTGATTTCATTGGTTAATAAAGAAACTGCCTTGGCCCTTTGATAGGACAGAAAATTAGGTAGGCGGAGTAAACAGAACAGAATGCTGGGAGGAAGAGGGAAGTGGGGCAATCGCCATGTCTCTCCTCTCTGGGTCAGACGCCATAGAGCCAGCCTCCAGGTCAGACATGCTGAATTACCTCATGGTGCTACACAGATTATTAGAGATGAGTTAATCAAGATGTGAGAATTAGCCATTAAGAGGCTGGAACTAATGGGCCACGCAGTATTTAAAAGAATATAGTTTGTATGTTGTTATTTCGGGTGTAAAGCTAACCATGCAGGAGCCGGGCAGGACGAAAAACAGGCCTGCCCACTGGCCACTACATCTGTGAGTCACAAAACTGTGCAGCTAACGCGCAAATAGAAGACCCAGCTATGATGTTTTAAAAAAGACACTAGAGAAAGAAAACAGCCACAGCTCCCAAGTGCCTTGGTCCAAATCACAGGTCAAGCCCATAGGTGTGGCTGCTAGCTCACACTCATTGTCCTTGATACTCAGCACAGACAGTCTCACTAGGTGCAGGATAGACATTTCAACTCCTTTTCACCTTTTTTTTTCAGATTTATTATTTATTACATAATATAGTGTTCTGGGGGCTGGAGAGATGGCTCAGACACACAGAGTATTGTATACATAATAAATAAATATAAAAAAAGAAAAAATAATAATATAGTGTTCTGCCTGCATGTATGCCTGCAGACCAGAAAAGGACACCAGATCTCAAGATGGTTGTGAGCCACCATGTGGGTGCTGGGAGTTGAACTCATGACCTCTAGAAGAGTGGCCAGTACTCAACTGCTGAGCCATCTCTCCAGGCTGACATTTCAACTTCTTTTGTGAAGCAAAAATAAGCCTAACCCGTTGTGGGAGACTAGGCAGTTTGGATGCTCACCTTACTAGACCTGGATGGAGGTGGGTGGTCCTTGGACTTCCCACAGGGCAGGGAACCCTGATTGCTCTTTGGGCTGACGAGGGAGGGGGACTTGACCGGGGGAGGGGGAGGGAAATGGGAGGCGATGGCAGGGAGGAGGCAGAAATCTTTGATAAATAATTAATAAAAAAATAAAATAAAACAGCAAAATAAATAAATAAATAATAAATAAAAACAAACCCTTAAAAAAAGGATTTGCCCAAATAGATTACTGCCCCATCCCGCAAAAAGAATCTTTAAAGCCCCCTCCGTGGGATTAAGATATGAGGCCTATGATTCTGGAACTCCAACCAGATCCTTAGTTGCCAACTTTGAAAACCTGCTGAACAAGGTTTTGGGGTTTGTTTTTTTGTTTGTTTGTTTGTTTGTTTGTTTTGGGGGGGTCTCTATGGTACAGAATCCAGTCAGATCTGTTTTCTACGAATGCCAGAAATGATGTGAAAACAAATGCTTGGTGTGACTTGGCTTATGAGCCTACCCATACTTGCTCATGGAGCTCCCCCAGCTTTTGGGGTGAAGTGGGACACTGATGAATTAGGTGCCAATATACAAGGCTGGAAGAAGGTTCTGTTGATAAGTGCTTTCCATGTAGGCATGAAACACTAAGATCAACTCTAGCATGCATGAAAACAGCTAAGCATGGCAACACACAGTTGAGTCCCAATATAGGGAGACAGATAGACATATCCCTGGCACTTGCTGGTCAGTCAGCCTAGAAAAATCATGAGCCTAGATTCAATGGAAGACTGTCTCAGTTAACGAGATGGACAGCTCCTGAGGCAGCTTGGGTTTGTTCTCTGGTCTATGCACAGTAACACGCACAGACAGACAGACGGACGGACGGACAGAGCGAACAAGGGATGAGATCAAGAACAAGGTTCTACTAACTTGAAGGAAGAGGTATGGAGATACCTTTATTTAGTTCACCTTAGTTTTATCAAATGAATCTATTGATTAAATGCCCAAATGAAAAACATTAAGATAATTAGTAAGTGGATTTACTTGATCTATATCTCCAACACGAAGGACACCGAGGCACTCAGCTAGGCACAGACAGTAGGCAAGCAGGTCTCTGGAATGGTGCCATATGCGCTGGAGATGGTAGAGAAATACATGCTATACAGGCTTCCCTGCCCCTCCATTATTGGGGGCACAGCCTGTCTCACCCTTACACAAGCAATACAATAAAGCTAGTCTCTTGCTGAAGATGAAGACTTTCTGTCAAAAGCCCAGCCTCAGATATATACTGGCATCGGGTCAGTATTTCTCTAGCTTGGAAACCCTGAAAATTCTTGAGAACAAAGTGAATACTTTTGATGATTAATAGAAGTTCCACAGCCACTGGCCATGCATTGAATCTGTGAGGATGCTAACAGAATCCATATTCAGAAGACCTAGATGGTGCAGTATCGCTACAAGTCCTTTAGCCCAGCCTGTCAGAGGGCATGGCACGAAACCAAGGTTCTCTGTGGCCCATATCAGATAAAGATGACGATTCTTGGAACCAACCCTCTGGCTTCTAGGGACACCTGGCTCCTTGCCAAATTATTTAGACACTCAATTCCTTGTCACTGTCTTCCATGACAAAACACCACACTGTTGGGGGATGAAACGCTAGACTGTTGCCAAAATTATTGTCGACCACTAAAATCATGAGAATCTATTTCACCTGCTTTCTCAGATTAGGAGTCCCCACAAATACAATGCGTTCATGTCTGTCTCCTTGAGCCAGAACAATTCGTTCTAATGGACGAAGAAATAAACTAAAGCAGCAGTCCTCAACTGTAACCCTGCCCCTCATACAAATCTTCCCAGTGGTGGCCACAACACAGCTGGCAAGCTAAGCCAGCAACCAAGCCATCTCATAAACTCGCTGAAGAATATACAGAAACCTCAACAAGTTGAGATGGCCTCTTCTGCTGGAAAGGCTTGGAGCCTACAAACTGAACACAGCGACACCTCCTTCACAGCGTGTGCTCATCGCTCAGAAGTCAGCGCCTCAAAAACAAAACCCCAGGGAAACGAGGAGCTGTGACACCAGTGATGTTCTACCACCCTCAGAGCTACAGCACATTTGACTTTCAGAACAAAAGACAACCTCAGTCACTGAAATGACATCAGCAAGGGAAATCACGAGCTGCAGCTGTGATGTCCTATGGCGGTGTGGATGCAAGAGAATGTGCCTCATTTGCTGGAAGGGTAGCACAGAGTGCTGCAGCAGGACCCTCCAAGGCACAACAGAAAAAAGGAGAACGGCTTTCTACACCAGTTATAGTGGAGATTCTAGGAATGCAGTGCCGCCCACAAACCAGCTCTGCAGGAAATGGGTTTGTGAATTGTTCTGGGCCCACAGTCACCCACCTGCATCTCCAGAGGCCACAGAGACAGCCAGAAAGTTGCATCTCCAGAGGCCACAGAGACAGCCAGAAAGTATTTGCAAAAGGTTGTTTAGGTCCGGCCACCCCCCTCCCCCCCATTTCAAAACCCAAGGAGTTCAACTATTCCTCCTTTTCTGGTTTTTTTTCTTTAGAGTTTTTTTTTAGAGACTGGAACCCCACCCACCCCCAGTGATTTAATAAGCTTTGGTGAACAGGAAGGACTTGTACTTACAAGGCAGACCAGAAAAGAGATGTTTGGGGATAAGTGAACCAAGATTTAATTAAGAGCCTGCATTCACCCAGGGTCATTATTGGCAAACTCTCATTCCCCACGAGAGGGAGCCAGTGAGCTTGACCAGGAACATAGATTAAGTGGCGATGATTAAAAAGAACAAAACCGCATAACTACTTCAGACAGAGGAGACATGGTCAAAGGTTAAGGAAGACCCAGGTTCTTGTAGCAGTCACAGATGCATCTACCACAGAGGCAACATGAAAACAGAAAGCTAAAAATGGAGCACACAGACACAGGAGAAGCTGGGCAAAACTTCCTTTTAGCACCCCACACATAGATTGAATGGAATTACCCCAAAGACACAGGGGGTGGCATTATTGAACATGTAGCCTTGTAGGAAAAAGTGTGTCATGAGGTTTTAGAAGATTAAGCCAGGCTGGTGGCTTGTTCGCTCTTCCTGCCCCTTGAGGATCTACCTCTCTAGCACCAACTCTGCCTGTGTGCCATCATAATTCCCACTATGCCAGTTGTAAGACCAGCCCAGTTAAATGTATTCCTTTTAAGAGATCTCATAGTCATGGCGTCTCTTCACAGCAACAGAAAACCTAAGATACTCAGATTTCATTCTCTAGAGCTTATTCCCAATTGTTTTCCTAAATTCACATTTTTTATCCTTTGTCCTCTGTGGATCTTCTGGGACAAGGTCATTTCCTCTCTATATACTTACACAAGAGGTGTCTTCTGGCCAGGCATGTCATATATCCTTCCAAGAGTGTCTGGTGGCTACCCACGAAGACCTGTAGCATCCTTCTCAGTATTACAGATTAACCTCAGTGTAAAGAGTAAGACATATTTGGTGTGTGCCAGTAATTCATATTCCAGACTACTGGCCACATTCAACCAGGAACTTCACTGACTCTCTTGGAAAGCTAGGATTTCAGAACACTTTGAGAAGCAGGTCATGCCAGCGTTCAGGGAGTGAGGCAGGAGGCCTGTCACACATTCAAGGGCATATACAGCAAGACTCTATCTCAAAATAAAAGGAAATAATCTCTCTCCTGATAGCCCCAATCTTTTGGGAATCCCACAACAGCTGGCATCTGTTACTGTGTTTAACTGGAAGCCTTATTTCAGAATAACAAATGTCAAACATCTACAATGCAATCCACCAGTTCCAGAGGCTTGGGATGAGATTAGAGTGGAATGCTGGCCACACACCCTGCATACCAAGACAAAGAAATGCAAAAGTGTTATGGGTTATGTGTGTTCATGTATGCTAAATCTCAGGATCCAGGGCCTTGAAGCCCAAGGACTGTACCATCTACCATTACTCCTTAGTCCAAGAACGAGAAGAACAGGGTCTGTGAGAGCAAGCAGAGCAAAGCTGCTGCCAGCAATACCCCATGCAAATCAGTCCACCCACAGACTTCCTACAGTCAAAGCTAAAGCTAAAGGTCGGAGTATCCTTCAACAAGCATTTGAGTGTCATCATATCTATCAATTAAAAAGGGATCTACAATTTGCTTTTATTGGCCTCATTTTCAGAGCATTCAACTAACAAGATCAGAAGATCACCCACTAAGCACCAGGTAGGCAAAGATCACATTCTCAAGGGCACAGTGGAGATCAGGATCACAAGAAAATCGGAACTAGATAGAAGACCTCTGACTGATTCTGGATGTAGGAAAGACTCCCAAGAAGAGAAGCCAAGGCTGGCAGCACTCAAGTCCCAGCAGCTCACTCTATTGTGGTCTCTGTGGTGGTTTAACTGAAAATGGCCCCATGCACGTTTGAAGGCAAGGATTAGGAAATGTGCCTTTGCTGGAGTGGGTTTGACAGTGGGGTGGGCTGTGAAACAGCAAAAGCCCATGCCAGGCCCAAATGCCATCTGTCTAAAAACAGGATGTAGCTCTCAGTTAAGTCCCCAGCAGCAAAAACCTGGCGGCCATCATGCTCCCTACGGTGATGAAGATGGCCTAACCCGAAGCTGTAAGTAACCCCCAATTAAATGTTTTCTTTAATAAAAGAAGAAATACATGCTGTCCACTGTCCAAGTAATAGAACATGAACTAAGACAGCCTACCATCAACATTCTAGATGGCATCAGGTAGCATGCACCCATCACGGACAACAACAACCCAGTACCCCTCCAAACTTCCCACTCCCCCAGACTAATTACTGTTGCGTTATAGAGTGCTGAAGAAGAGCTGTGACTGAGATGAGCAGCAATGATCCTAGGCAAATGTAAGTCACGTACCCCTTGATTAAATGTCACCAGCATGAATCTTTGGACAAAAGTAAATAATCTGGAGATGCAGCTCAAACACGACTAACTAACTCAACAACTAACTATTCTTAATAAGACCTGTGGTTAAGAATACTGGGTATAGCCGGGCGGTGGTGGCACACGCCTTTAATCCCAGCATTTGGGAGGCAGACGCAGGCGGATCTCTGTGAGTTCGAGGCCAGCCTGGTCTACAAGAGCTAGTTCCAGGACAGGAACCAAAAAGCTACGGAGAAACCCTGTCTTGAAAAATAAATTTAAAAAAAGAATACCGGCTACTCTTCCAGATGACCCGGGCTCAATTACCAGCAGCCACGGGGCAGTTCACAACTGGCTGTGCCTCTAGTTCCATGGGACCCGACACCCTCACACAGACTCACATGCACGCAAAATACAAATTCACATAAAATAAAGTTTTAAAAAGATCACCTGCTTTATGTAATAGTGTAAAAATTTTTACCATAACCAGACTAGAAAATAATCCATTACGTGACTGCTTGGTAAGAAAGCATAGCTGTTCCGACTATGGTCAATCTTGGTAAGAAAGCATAGCTGTTCCGACTACGGTCAATCCCCGTCTAATCTCAACTAAGTACAGTTCAACCTGAATAGGTACAACTGGATATGGGCACCTGGATGTTTAGAAAACGCATAAAACTCGGGCCTCTTCCAGGGAATACATAGGATTCAGCCTGTTTGTCTCTGTATCTCTATCTCTACATCCTTTTTCCACTCTGTATCACAAGCAGAAACATATAGAACTGAGCTCGGCTCCAGCTCCTTTAAACCAACAGTAGTGGGAGTGGGCGGTAGCTGGTGCGCCACTGAAACAAACTAGAGCGGGCCCACCTTGTGTTGTGAGCCTTAGGAATGCAAACATCAGGACCCCGTGTTTAGGAGGCAGCCCCAGCTACTGACAGAGCAATTCCATAATCAGGCTCAGCTGCCATCTCTGGAGAAAGATGATGTCTTTGTTTGATAAACCAGAGCTACTACTGACATCATGATAAAATTACTTGTTCTCTCATGAGGTTCAAAAGACTTAGAACGGTGGTTCCTCATAATACGGGAACCCCCAATCGTAAAATTCTTTGATTTTATTTCATAACTGTAATTTTATCAGTTATGAATCATAACTATCTGATGTGGACGATATCTGACATATGAACCCAAAGAGGGTCATGACCCACAGGTTGAGAACCACTGACTTAGAATGGGGTCTCGATAAAACATAGAAACAGAGAGTGGCCATGTTCACCACCTCAAACGAAAACCTAAATGCTTGAAAAGTAAAGATCAAGACAAAATACTCTGTGTGTGTGTGTGTGTGTGTACACGCACAAGTGCGCGTGAGAGGGGGTGGGGCACGTGTGCATACATGCATTCGCACTTACTTGTATAAGCCTGTACAGCTCTATAAATGAATATACTCATTCACATTCAGGAACATATACTTTGAACTAGTTACTGAGACCACAATTTGGAATACAGCCCGTAAAGAAATCTCTCCTGTCCCCTCACTACCCTGCTATGAACCCATCTTTAGAAATCACAGTCCTGGGGAAATTGCAATTCTGCCAAGATTACTGGGAAAGGGAAGCCATCAACGAACTGTGATCCCCTAGGACTCATCAACCCTACCATGGTTAGATGCATGAGGAGCCAATTGTTTGTTATCTGTTTTAGAATAGCTAGCCCAGTCCCTCTTATGTGCCCCAATGGATCTGCCTGTATGACTATACTCCCTGCCTCCCAGAGCTGTTCAGAAAATATGGACAGGAAAATTTCCATAGAACAGCAATGGCCCAAGATGCAGGTCTTAAGAGTTACCCAAGAAAATCTTATTATTCAATCTTGTTAATACAGAACCTTCACAGCCAAGTGTATCTCATCCAATGTTAGATGGTTCAGCAGTGTGCCTGCCTGCCTACTCAAGACACCTGCTGCAAGTCCTGGCCGAGAACAAGAGAGCAGGTGAGATAGTTCGACGGGTAAAGGCTCTAGCATCGGATGAGTGAGTGGAGTTTTATCTCTAGGACACAGATGTTGGAAGGAGAGACCCAACTACCAAATGTCATCCTCTCACCTCCATAGAAAAGCTTTGCTGTACACAAGGATACAAACACCAATAATTGATATACTAAATATAAACCTTATAAGAAAATTTAAAAACAAAAGCAAGCAAGAAAATAGACCACAATCATCCCAGACAAGCCTGTACCATCTCTAGATTTATTTGAACACCAAACTCATGCCTCTACAGCTAAAATGAGAAAGACAATGGGTGTTCCCCACATTTGTACCTGGTGGAGCACTTGAACAAAAGGAACATTAAGAACACATGCTACATTTCTCCACTCCCCGTGAACTCTAATATCCTATCAGTCTTACTGTGTGAGCAAAAGGCATCCGGTTAGGGTTGGGGTTAGATCCAGGAGGGAAAAGACCCACAAGTCCCACCTGGATCTTCGTAAGGTTAAGAGCCACACTTTGGTGAAGAGAAACTATCCCTGTCCACCTGTGTGGCGAGTCTTACTTCTCTAGCTTCTTTAGCCTGACTTCACTTTGTGAGCGAACTGAGCATTAGCTGGTAGACCAGAAAGCTCCTCACAATGAGGGTTACCTGTTTCCGTAAGTCCTGAGCCGACCGATGCAGAGGGGGAGGTTGGTGGTTGGCAGGAAGCCCCTTGGCCAAGGAGCCTGCAGAGGGGGTGGCTGAGGGCTGGGCCACTGAAGCCTGCTCCCTTCGGCTGTCTGCCCTGTGGTCGATGTGCTTCTCCTTCCCGGGAGTGGCCTCCTTGCTTTTGTGTTTTTGAGCGGGTTCTTTCTCCCGTGTTGACCTGTTGGAGCCATTGAAGACTAGAAAAGGGAGAGAGGGGAAAATGAAGTTATTGTCTTGAGTGGGTAACTATTCAAAAACTCTCCAGTCAAATGGGCAGCACCCAACAAGTATCTGAAAGGAGATAAAACCGATTAAAAACGCTTTAGAAAATCTTAAGAAAGAATTCCTGTAGCTTAAAACTTTTTTTTTAATCCATTAAAATAATCTCGCTAACGTAGGTGATTAGTCATAATAGCTTGTACCTAAAATCCTAACACTCAGGAAGCCAAAGCAGAACTACCCTAATAACTTCAAGACCTCTCTGGGCTACACAGTGAGTTCTGGGCCAGCCTGACCTACAGAGTTTGACTGTCTCAAATAAACAAAAATAGTTACACAGTTAAAAACAGTTAATAGTTAAAGACTAAAAACTATAGAAAAATTTATTCAGACTATCAATGCTGTAATGTGCTAAATTTCCTCAGGTTACAAGGGGAACCTGAAGCCCCATGCAAACAGAATGTTATTATTAGAAAGACAGTGTACTGGCTGCAAGTGACCTACTGACCTTCATAGCTAGCATCCCTTTAGTGCGGAGGTGCTGGCAGGGTCTAGGCTTTCATCATCACTCCTAGTATCCCCAAACAAGACTGGATAGTATACATCACTAGCCTATAGCACATCACTAGCCTGGGAGTGACCCAAATCAATATTCAAAGTGCATTTACTACTTAATACAACTTGCTTTATAATACAAAAAGAAAATCAATTAAGGTATGTGAAGTCACTAATGTCAGGGACCATCTGTATGTAGTCACAGTCCAAGACCACCTGAAGATATCGAGAAGCACTGAATGAAATTTAAAGGCACACATACACTGTGCAACCGGATGGGTAAGGCATGCAGTTGCAGTTGCTTTTATGACCTCCAGGTGGATAATGGGTGAGCTGGAGTTGTAAGCCAACCCTATTCATTACTAAATCCAGAGCTAGAAACTGTATCCCTGAATAAGCCACATGGATGTTGAAGACTCTTTGGACTGTTCCCTACTTACAATTTCTTGATTAAGTTATTATTTAACTATCCTCTTAGTAGCCATTTAGAACATAGAAATATGTAACTTAATATGCTTTCAACTATCAAATAAAATCTTTAGAAACATGAATCTGCTTCCTGAACTCCAAAAGCTAAGAATGGTATCAGCTAGCCCTTGGAATCTAGAGATGGCCTGACATCCTCACCAACGTGCCAGTAGGATTTTTATTTATTTTTTAAAGGTAGAGTTTCATTGTAAAAGTCTTGGTGACTTTGAAATCACTAGGTAGACCACGCTGGTCTTGAGCTCACAGAGATCTGCCTTCCTCTGCCACCCACAAATTCCAATGGAAAGGAAAAAGCTCCACCTAAGGTGTCTTTTGTTCTGTAATTCAAAGGGTCACTGTAACAGACTTGCCCCCATTAGAGGGTATCTCAGGTAGTGTAAAGGCCTGGGCAAGGAGCTAAAGAGAGCAGCCAATTTTCCTTCACCAGTCCCTCACACAACCTGGAGAGCACCTGTCTCCACACAGGCAGGCAGAGTGGAGAGCCTTCGACGCTGCTGCTCGCATCTCCCCATCCTCTGACCTGCAAATACTTCCTTCTTTTGCCCCTGGAAAAATGTGTGTGGACTAGGCTAACCTCGGACTCATTTGCCCACCTTAAAAGCACATGTCACCATATTTAGCTTACATTTTTTTTCGGGTGCTAACTCTGCCTTTAAACTGCAAAGTTTAGAAAGCTCTCCCACCCATAAATATTGGAGATTGCTTCATCTGATTTTTTTCGCTCCTCACAACCTATAAAAGTGGATAATAAAATTATGTTTATGGTATAACATGATGTGACACACAGCTCTATGAAATGTTAAGCTAACGAATATGTTCCATATTCCCAAATATGCACTGACTTTGTAAAAACATTCATTTTTGATCTTCTTTCTATGGGTACAGAATTGAGCGCTATTAACTGAAGTCATATTCACACAAATAGCTCTCCGTGGCACACAAAATTTTCAAAATTAAAATAATCTGAACTTCCTTCTAAGTCTTTTCCTCATTTAATTGTTCAGATGTAACTCTTCCTTTGCATAGGATCTCTCTCCTATCTGGGTTAACTGTGAGCATCAAACTCAAAGGTTCTTCCAGGACCAGCAATTATATACTCAAAACAAATTTTAGACACTGAAATAAAGATGGTGTCTCATTGCTTCTCTGTTACACTAGATGCAGGGGAAATGGAGCAGCTATAATGTCTGCATTTACTCTAAGTGTAAGTAACTAGTCACTGTCAGAAACCATCAATCACACCCCCACATCTGCAGCCTGGGTCTGCCTGGAACAAATGAAGAACATCATCTCTGAGGAGTCAATTAAGAAGGTACATGAATCCAGGCAATTCTTGACTGGATTTCTGACTAATTCCTCACTAATTTCATAAAGCAAAGAACATGGCTCCAATATCCTGAACTGCTTTCTTCTCCTAAGAAAGACAATTAATTCACAGATCACCCTGCTTCTAAGCACCAGGTTTACAGTCATTAATTTTATTCGAAGAGAGGGTGAAACAAAAATATTCTCTAGATTTATCTTATCATTCTTGGCTCTGATATTTATTATTGGGCAAGTGAGCTGATCCTTGGTTTCCTCATTTGTAGACTGAGGCTAACAGATGTTCCTGCAGAGCCACTGAAGATTTAAAGGGGCCGTCTTAGGAAACTTCATCAGCATACCCCGACTAAGTGTGTTCTAGCCTCCTTTCTTTCATTGCTGGTAGAGGGCAGTTGGCCTGAGCAAGACCCATCACAACATGTGACCAGTGAGGTTCATTAAATATGACACCTTTACCGTTTGCCTGCCAAGTACCCCCAGCTCCCACCCCACTTACTATGGATCTAGATAAAGCTTAGCACAGCCACCACTTGTCCCCCTATGTTACTCAATTTGCCCCTAGCATTGCTACTGGCTAGCTTGTCACCTGTTCAAGAATTCATGTTCTCATGTAAACACGAAGGGACAGGAGTGCTTATCTACTAATGCAATGACAATTCAGGGAAAAGTGGGTTAACTGACAAGCAGCATACAGTCCTTTGCTAAAGAATCATGCCAGCAAACAGTTCTAAGCTGTGGACATCAAGTATGTCTTCCTGACCTAAAAAAGGAAGGTCCTTCACCACCACTGCCTGAAAAGGAGAGAGGTACAACCCTCTGGTTCCAATGGAATGCACTTGGAGAACTTTCAACTACTAATCCTCCTTCCCAGGAAAACACTGGAAAGCAAAGATCTGGAACCAGAGCCGAGCTGTGCAATACTGGCTGCAGCGGGTGGTGAGGGAGGCCAGTGCTATCAATGCAGTTGAACAAACCAGCTGCTCTGCAAACTGCAGCAGCGTGCCTGCGAAGGAGTACTCTAATAAGATGTCCTAGGAAAGAGAAATGAAACAAACTGTGATTTGCAAACAAAAGATGCTTTTCAAATGAATCTGGCTGTAATGATCCTGCAATTTTATAGAGCAATATACCCCAATGGCAAACATACCCAAAAAGTCACATCGTGTGTTAAATGGGGAGAAAAGGGGAGGGAATGATTGGGAAAAGCCGATAAAGGCAAGGACAAGGTATATTTTGTGCTCGACAGCTCATTAATTTTAAGTGTCGTGGGAACCTGCCAGTTTTATTCCTCCAAGTAATTATCTTTTGTCTTAATTTGTAAGATTTTCAAGAAAGGAAGAGAAGGAAAAGAGAGGTTTAAAAAAAAAAACCACTTCCCATTCTGTGAGCATGAGACAGAAAGGCATCAATGTATAGAAGCTCACTACAAACCGTCCCCAATTAAAAGAAATAATTGGACTAGCTTCTTTAAGCATCCATCACAGTGAGCCATATTAGGAACCTGTATTGTCCTCAGATACAAATAGCTTGACATAATGAACAGAGACTGATATATTGATTTGTATACACTTACTCTGAAAGTTAAATGCTCTATGGGGAAGTGTTTTCACACCATAATAAACAAAATCTGTAAATCCTAAGCCTGATATTTTCATTGAAGGTCACTTCATTCTTGAAAGGGAAAGATTTCCTTCCAACTAGGAGTGAAAAAGACACAGGCAAGAGAAGTTTCTTTAGTAATGTCTTTTACTACAATTATGTGAGGTGGAAAGCTACATTTCCATGGAGAAATTCACATTTAAAGTTCCCAAGAGTCCAACATGAATGATGCTGTCCATGAGCTCTGTGCACACACTGAGATGTGTGCAGGCTTAAGGCAAACCTATGAAGGAATGCCTAAAACCCTCACATACTCTGGCTGAACAACACTTGTGCCCGATTCCCTAAGGATAAACCAGCTGCCCCTCATCTTTCTTCCAAGTCTTGCTCAAGTATTTTGCATCAAATATACAGTGTGTTGTGTGTTCTTCAGAGGACACTATGCAAATATAACATGGGTGATCTTTATGAAAGCTCTTGTTACAATGGCAAAAAGGCACATCTGACAAAAATCAGTTCATTTTAAAGAGAGCTGACAAAGCCAGCAACCTGGTCTCACACCCTGTCTTGCTTCATTACTCCTAATAAACAGGACAAATGCCAAGAGCAAGGAATCACTGGGTAAATGCAGTAATAAAGAAGTCCCTGGCATTTGATAGAAGTTCTTCCACATTTTGAGAATACTCCCTGTCTCACTTGAGAGCTGATGTGAACATGTCGGGAAACCCAGAAGCGCTATTCCAAAACCTTGCCCTGCTCGTAGAAAAGCACCAGGCAGCAATCAAGAACTTCAAGACAGAACAGACACAACAGTCAAACTAACAAGAACATTGTCTAATACCATCCCTCTAGAAGAGGGCTTAGGGAGACAAAGGAATCGTAGGATAAAAATTAAGAAGAATGCACTATAGAAAGGAAAAGAGATCTACCAGTTTCTGATAGCAAGCCAGGCATTTAAATGTAAGCTTCATGTTATTACAAGCTGTCCGGTCTTGAACTAGGCACAGGCTCC